TACTCTACCATTCAAAAGCTTGGAGTCAGTTTTTTTTTTTTTTTGAGGGGGGGGGGGTTATATAAATGATGCAATCGACACAAACGTTATGTGGCAGTTACTTTCGAACGCGGATTTGCTCTATTTTGGTCGCGCTACCATAGACATCAATGCAATGTTTTGTAATGAATCTTTGCAAATCGTTTTTCCTAATAATGTGCTAATTAGCAAGTTTCAGGATGAATGCGGCTAAAGTAAACAGTCTCTCAGAACAGCTCGGAAGAGAGGGGCGGGGTCAGCATAGCTCATTAACATTTAAAGGAAAATGCTACAAAAACGGCTTGATCTGAAAAGAGCTGTTTTTGACAGGGTAAAAAAGGTGTTTTTTACACTACCATTGAGAAATTTTAACCAAACTATGTTACAGACTTTTCATTAAGACCCTAAAGAATCATATCAACTTGTGGAAAATGGGCATTCTATGACCCCTTTAATAATAATATGTTTGAAACGTCACAACACTTCTACAAACAACCCCAACACACACCACATGCGACCCCTGAGAAAACTCAGCAGAGAGCGCAGAGGCTCTTTCATCGTGCTCATATTTCAAATGCTCCTGCTTATTTATGCAACACACACCGATCCTTGTTTGTAAAAACAACGAATGTACACTCACGATATCCTAACGAGAAGCAGAGACTATCGCTCGAGGAGAACCGAAGCCTGTCTGCGCTGATTACGCTCTGGTCAGAGGAAGGGTGATAATATGTGTTGAACTTCCCGACACCATGCTGTACCATTCCAGCATTTCACAAACACAAAGGGAAAACTGAGACGGCAGCCAATGAGTTTGGAGCTCAAATCAGGTTTTAAGTAAATAATGACAAATAGTGTTCTTCTTACAAGGTGCTTGATGATATAGATATGGAAGGCCGTTCTGTTACCTCTGGGTTTCCACAGCTACAGTACAGTAGGCCAAGAAGCAAATCAGAAATCCAACACACATTTTGACACCTTGCTTTGGAAATGAATAAAAGAGCTGTTTGAAAACTTTTAACAAAAGCCAGGTGAAGTTTTCAACCAGAAAAAAATGGATGATACTGTGTGTGATCAAAACAGGAGTTGTGGCTCCCACTCTTTGAAAGACTTTCTAAAGATTACCTGCCTGACTAAAACCACCTATTCACACTATGCACGTTTTGGGATACTGTATTAAAAATACTGAAAGGAAACACTTAAAAGAAGAAAAAGAATAAAAAATATAATTCGATATGGACACATTTTTTAGCATGAAGACAAGATTTTATTTGAAATGGAAAGGCTGCTTTATTCAGAAATTGTTTTTAATTAAATTCTATTCAGAGTCAAACTTGAATGAAAAACACCTAATGACAAAGCAATCATTCCACTGTTCAAAAGTTTGGGGTCGGTAAGATTTTTCTAAAAAAGCCTCTTATGCTCACCTAGGCTGCATTTATTTAATCAAAAATACATTAAAAAAACAGCAATAATGTATCAAAAATACATTTGCAAATGTACCAAAAATACAGTACATTTTAAAATACAATTTATTCATGCGATGGCACAGCTAAATTTTTAGTAGCCATTACTCCAGTCTTCAGTGTCACATGATCCTTCAGAAATCATTCTAATATACTGATTTGCTGCTCAAGAAACATTTCATATAATTATCAATACTAAAAACATTTGTGATGCTTTGTAATGCTAGAACAGCATTATTTGAAATAAAAAATATTCAGTAAAATGAAATTTTTTCTCTAATTTTTGGTCACTAATGTGTTTAACTTGCTCAACAAAATTAACTGCTGTAAAAATAAATAAATAAATAAATCTTACAGACCCCAAATATTTGAATAGCAGTACAAGTTGTTGACAGTAAATGTTGGTGATTTAAGACAACACCAGCAACAACAACCATTGGTTATGCAATGAAGCAGAGCAGAGTTCAACTTCAGGCAAATGTACAGTGTGAAGTAAACGGTGACTACAAATGGGAGAGCAGACAGGGGAGCTCATGTGATCCACCTCATACATGTAAAAAGCAACAATCAAGATTTTGAAACAATACCACTACCAAATTAAATAAGAAACACAAAGTCAGTGATACTAGCAGACAGAGTGGACGTCTATGTTGTGGCTGCATAAGACACTACAAGATAAAGCTCTCCACATTTTCAGAGCATCTTGCCAGCATCAGCTTCATAATGACAAGTTAATGCCACAAAAACACACTGAATGTTGAGATTGCACACAAAAGGTTTTATGGATCAGACAACAAAAACACTCACAAAATGTATGCTGAAGCATGTCAGTCTATGAACAGACCACCACATAGAAACAGCCTGTTATGGCACAAAAAAGGCTCCACAACCCTAAGTGACCTGCCAATCATTCAGTTCCATCAAGAAAAATACTGTTTTTCCAATAAACTTCAGGAAAGGAGTTGACATGAAATTTTTTTTTTTTTGCCTCAACCCATTTATAAAACCACAGTGCACAGCCAGGAACTCAAATCCTGACTGGTACCTGTCGTTCTCGCTGTTCTTAGTGTACATGAGTGGGCCTTGTGTGTTTAATACAGGCCTTAACATACTTCATACAGTAAATCGCCATCATATGATGCTTTAAGTTGTCAGTACATGGTTTTATGCAAACATCCATTGTCACATTTCAAGAAGCTTGTTTACTCTGCATGTAAGTGTATGCAAAGTAACATTATTGGTGCAGGGCACACAAAAACTCACACCATTAGCTGAATTTTACAGTAAAGATCTACAAACAAATTCTAGAAACCTAAGCAGCACTACTGTCACCTCATTTGTGTTCCATAACAAGCATTAAAAAACCATCCAAAAATCTATGAGTGGGTCAGATGAACACCAGGCAGCATGCGGAAGTACTGTGACGAGAAATGGCCAAGGTTATGCCTGAAGTTAGACCACACTGCAACCATACTCACCGGTAACGTGGCGTGCTCTATAGCATTGCCCTACAGAAGATAGACAGAGACAAAATTTTGGTCAAAGGTCAAGTTCATGACTCCCCCTGGGTTCAAATTAAGTCGGTCAACCGCACTGTCCCGTATCAACTTGGCCGAACTGTTTACGATCGATACTGAAAGTCCCTCTGAGTGTCAAAGATGGTTTGTGGTCAGGTGGGAGAGGCCGAGCAAGCGAGCGTGACTGATGGGACTGTGGCTTTGGAGTCATTACCAGAGTTTTTGGCTGTGAACTTGATTGCAGGGCCGCTTTCACACACACAAAAACGATCAGTTCTTGACCTTTCCTGAAAACCATCAGGAGTGTGAACTGGGGCTGATTGAAACAGGATGCACTATGTTCACATGCAGCGCTGGAATGTGCAAACACAATAATATAAGCGGCATATCTGGAAGAGTACAAGATCGTTTGACTGTACGTGTGTTGTTCGGTGTTTTGTGTGTACGTGCGTGTATGCGTCGACTGAGAAAGTGAGACATTCAGCCTGACCGTAACCCGACCTGGGGTTGTACAAACATTGCCCCCTGTTGGTGAAATCCAGCCAACAATGTGAGGGCTGTCTGCAGCGGGCTGAAAGGATCATGGTTCTCTGTTACTGAAAGCTTAGAAAAAGGGCAGTCAAGAATTTAAGAGATTACAGGAGCACAGGAAGCCACATTACTGCCACCAGCCCTGGATCAGAGACAATCCCAGCCAGTCATGCAGACACAGGAAGGTGTTTGGTTGAGGCCCGTAGGAAGGAAAACTCTTAAATTCTTTGATTATCAGAAATCCCTCATGACAGGGGTCAGGGCCGGGCTGTGCCAGTGCTAGACTTCCTTACCCAAAGCTGAAACCTAAGGTCACGCCACAAAATCTCTTTAACTCCATGTCAGCTGAGCCACACTGGGGCTTGCAAGCCCAGAACACTGCAATCCTCTTACTTGCTACGAAAATACTTAGCTTTCCATCAAAGTTCAAGTGTACTGTTGAGTACAATCTCCTTTAAAGCGATGGTGTCAAATAGGGGAGACCACAGGCTCAGGCAGAGCATGTTGGGTACAAGCACGGATTATGGCCTGGGCTAACAGAGCCTGTGCGCCAGGACCTCAAGGTGTAAAACAAGTAGCATGACAAACAGGGGGGGGGGGTTACCTGTAGAATTATTATTATTAATAATAATAATAATAATAATTTATTGCTTTACACTACTGATCAAAAGTTTTTTGCTCAGTATGATTTTTTTAAATAAATTAAAATATTTTATTCAGCTAGGATGCATAAAATTGATCAAAAGTGACAGTAAACACACAAAAGATTTCTTTCAAATAAATGCTGTTCTTTTGAATCTTCTATTCATGAAAAAATCTTGAAAAAATGTAGAAATATTAAGCAGCAACTGTTTTTAACACTGATAACAATAAGAAATGTTCTTGAGCACGAAATCAGCACATTAGAATGATTTCTGAAGGATCATGTGACACTGAAGATTGGTGTAATGACTGCTGAAAATGTAGCTTTGTCACCACACTGAATTATATTTTACATTTAAATAAATTACATTTTAAAATACATTAAAACAGAAAAGTTATTTTAAATTGTAATACCATTTCACAATATTGCTGTTTTTACTGTATTTTTGATCAAATAAATTCAGCTTTAGTGAGCATGGGACATCTTGTCAATCCCAAACTTTTAAACGGTAGTGTGTATAAAACTGATGTAAATGAGCAAAAGAGAAGTGGAGTGAGTGCCACCCAAGACGGTCGCCTTTGTCACCACTACAAGATATCTTACTTCAGATCTATACCAACTCTATTTTTAAGGAGTACAAGTTGTAAGCTGCAATATCAAGAAGGATAGAAAGTCCAAATTCTGCACAGTTGCACAGGTTGCACCATAACCTTTTCTTGGCTGTGTTCAAAAAATATTTAGTTATATTAAGTAATCATGTAATTAAGAGTGCTTTTACACAGAAAGAATAAAAAATATTAATATGTATGTGGATGAAATACTCACGGGCAAGTGAGTGAACACTGCAAAGGTGCTACAGAGGAAAGCGATGAGGTCACTCAGGTAGTCACTGGCCTGCCCACCTCCCTGTGCTGCCGCCCAATCATAATCAGCCAGCTGCAGAAACTGGTCAATCTTTTGATTCAGGTTAGTGTAGATCTCCTCTTCAGCGGCATGCCTTGCATCCTATACAGACAGAGATGTGATCCCTAACCAGTCACAATACGTATTGTAAAAACACTGAATAATAATCCACACAATCCATGTGTGTGTAGGGGGAGGGTGTGACATGCAGGTTCGTACCTTGAAGGTGGAGGTTCCATAGAGTTTGGTGGCATTAATGGTGTCAGGAGGCACGTTGGTTATGTTGGAGATGAACTCTTCTAGGTAGTGACAGGACTGCTCCAGGTGAGTGGTGTTGATGATGATCTGAACCAACTTTGGGAATCAAATGTGATTTCAAATTATGACTAATCCATTTTTGTCAAAATCAGTTTTTACTGACAAAGCGCAATTAGTTATATGCATGAAAAGGCCAAGATTTGTAGGTTTGTGACACTGAAGACTGGAGTAACGGCTGCTGAAAATTCAGCTTTGACATCACAGGAATAAATTACATTTTACAATGTACTGGAATAGAAAATTATTTTAAATTGTAATAATATTTCACAATATTACTGTTTTTACTGTATTTATGTTAAAATAAATGCTGTCTTGGTGAGCATAAAACTTCTTTACATTAAAAAAAATTACCAACCACAAATTTTTAAGTTAACTTAATTTACAGTTATGTTGCTGGATCAGCATCTTTTATTGGTAAAGGTACAACATTTAATAATAATGCAGCATATATTCAACTGCATAGGTATTACAGTCATGACAGAGAAAAGCAGTGCTTTGGGGAAAAGATTCTGGGGGTATGAGTAATAACAACCAGCAAAAGCCCCAAGTGTGGGAGTAATTTCAAAGGGGAAAGGTCATAGAGAGGAAGCCAAGGGTGCGTTTAAAGGGACAGAGAGAATCTGTCTGTGGGAAACAGACCTGGAGCTGCTCTACGTTCAGTTAGCTGTTCTGTGGTGCAGAGTTTGAGGTCCACAGGCAGGGCAAGGCTGTCAGCAGCAAGGCGCTGAGGCACATTGGTGCTAATTGAGCCCAGACCTTTAACTTGGACCCGGTCTTCCCTCCCTCTCTTTCTCCAGTCATGGTGCACCATGCAGGGAGGGAAGCCCGATGCAGAGCCTAGGTCACACTTCCGCACCTCTGCCAGATCCGGGGCAAGACAGGGGGATGAAGGAGCTTGATATCTGATCTGGTGTGTGTCTGTGTGTGAGTGTAAAGGTAGTAGTAAGACTTGACTTTGCTGTGCAAACTACCTGAAACCAACAATAAAGCTTTTGCTTTTTTAAAATACAACACTGAATGTCTTTCTTTCTTTCTCTGCTATTCTTTCATAATTTTCTCATCAGCGACACCCAACTGAACTGAACACATCTGGATTTCAGGGGTTATAAACAGGCCAGACTGCAAGCAGAATCAGCAGAGCAGAGAAGAAACTAACCACATTTGAGCAAGGAACACGAGCAGAGTATAGCAGGGATGGAGTGAGAGCAGGGTGCAAGTGCTAGCCAATGGCAGGTAAATTTGCCAAATCTGCCTGTCACTGTTGCGCATAGTCCATTTCAGAATGGCCTTCGACATTAAATGCTGTTGTTTAGAAACAGCGATGCACTTTTGCTGAAGTAACAACTTTTGAAGAGTCTGATCATTATTTGATCAAGAGCCTTATTTGTGAGTACTTCAATAGAAATCCCTTAAAACAAAAAAAAATTGTTGACTTGATTTTGACATTTGCATATAGTCAATACTCTCCATAAGAGAATAACATGTTATAACTTGCAAACTGTGTAACAAAAAAAGTGTAATTTAATACTTTAATATAACATGTTGGTAATTAAAAAAACATTATTAAAAACTTAATTAAAAATAAAGTGAAATAATCTCATATTTCAAGGCCAGTTTTCCAGTGCAGAAAAGTAGAATTCGGAGAGCCCAGATATAGACTCTCTGTTGAGGTTGGACTGATACAACATCAATCAAGAGCAACATGGATGTTGGCATATAAACACAGAAACAGATGAAAGAAAATAAAAGATCCTCACCTCTGCCAGTCCTACGTTTTTCTTCTTTATGGCATACTGTAGACAGTGGCTAAGGGTTCGTGTGAGCAGGAGGTTTGTAGACTTGCGGATCATGTCATCAATTTCTGTGGAGCTGAACATGAAAATTCACCTAATTAGAAATATAATTAGAAATATATATTTATGTTTATATCTATAAAGCAAATCCATAACCACATATTCAGGATTGGAGGGACAAAATGTATCATAGAGGGCTGTGTCCTGCTTCATGCAAAACAAAAATGGATTTACTTATTTCCTTTTCTTATAAGAAATAATCTGTTATTAGCTGACCTTAAAAATTTGTGAGATGCTCAATGTCTAAGTTGCTTAAACCCCTTAAATTAAATACACTATTGTTAAAAAGATTGGGGTCAGCAGTTTTTTTTGGTTTTGTTTTGTTTGTTTTGTATAAATGAATACTTTTATTTAGCAAGAATACATTAAATTGATTAAAAGTGACAGTAAAGACATTATTAGTTACAAAAACAGTAACAGTGACTGTAAAGATATTGTCACAAAAAATGTTTTTCAAATAAACACTGTTCTTTTGAACTTTCTACTCACCTAAGACTCCTAAATAAAGTATCACCGTTTCCACAAAATATTAGAATATTATTCTAATATTGCATAATATTACAATACATATTAGAATGGTTTCTAAAGGATCATGAAATGCTGCTAAAAATTCAGCATTGCCATCACAGGAATAAATTAGGTTTTAAAATACATTAATACATTAAAAAACAAAACAGTTATTTTAAATTGTAATAATATTTCACAATATGTGTGGTTTAACTGCATTTTTATCAAATAAATGAAGCACTGGTGAGCTTAAGAGACTCCTTTCCATAACACAAAAATCTGACTGCGTAAACTTACTGTAACGTATATAAATATAGACTTTCGATATATGCATTTTGTGCTACTAGTCTCATTGAACACTTCTAGCAACACTTGGCGCAAATGATTTGCTTTCAGACCCAACATATGGAGAGCAGAATCCCGAGCGAGATGTTTTTGTGGTCCAGATTTACATAAGCATAGTTCTGACTCACAGTGTGTCCTATGTGCTTTAATCCTTAATACTCCACCTCCTCTGAGAGAAAAAAGGCACAAAGTGGAACCAAAAAGATGCAGTGAATAAGATGGAGAGGCCTACACACATGAACACTCACAGACTATGGGCTGAATTTAAAACCACTCTTCAGGTCCCAATAACACCCTCTGGGTTTCAGTAACGCATGTTCCAAAAACCAGAGAACAACCACACACAGATATATGGTCTAAATCAACATGAGGGGAAAAGGGGGGATATCACTTTTCTTTACTCTTCTCTTCTGTTTTATTGAAGGGGGTGGGGAGGAGTAAAGGGGGCTAGCGCTCGTTAGTACAGCTGCAGCTGTATCTTCCTCTACTTCCCCCCACAGATTGGTTCACAAATAATTAAGAAGAGAGTCAAAAGAAAGAAAGGGACAATATGTCTCAAACGTGTCCGTCAATGTGAGCCAAGGCCCAGGGTGCAATAGTTTTCCCCCCTCGATCTGGGCAACAAACGCATTACTCGCAAATTACTAAATCGCCTCTCATTGTGTTGAGAAAAGCAGAGGAGGAATTTGAAAAACGTTCCTCTCCTCAGCAGGGGGAAAAAACTCTGAGCTCCCTCCGCTGACTTGGCAGGAGGAGAGCCAAACGGAGCAGAGAGATGGAGGACATAAAGAGAGAAAAGGAGGTGCTATCCGAAAAAGTTGCTTCCAGACCAATATACAGATTAAAATATTAGCATCTACTGTCCCGCTGCAAACTCCAGGTAAATGTGAGACATTTTCTCTGTTGGTTTTGTTCAAAATTTGAGCAAATGGCATGTTGGGTTACGGTCATCGGTTTACAGATATTGATTACCATAACATAGCTCTGATTTTGTACATTACAATATGGAAATGTTCCCAGTACAGAACCTCAACTAGGGTGAAAAAGAAAGGCCTGGCTTTAAATCGAGGCATTGGTATTTTTGTGACGATCTGGAAACTGACAGTGTCTGGATGATTCCAAAGGGCCTCTGGCTATTCCTCATCTTAAGAGGGAGGGGGCTAAGAAACAGAAAGAGAAGTTGTAGTCTGATTAAACACAGACGCTTTACTGGCATTTACATTTGATTTATTCTTCCATTCAACTCTCTCGCTTTTTCAGTGAAAATTAGGGTGGGGGTTCGGTCTGATAAACAATGATCTGAGAGGAACAGATGAGCAGGGAACCAACGGAGACTGAAAATGTCCAATTAACTTCATTGGAAAATGAGAAACTAAACATAAGGAGCAAGCGAGACAGATACGGCTCACATCAGTTAGCACAGAACGTATGTTCGTTAGCTATTCAACCATCACAAAGAGTAACATTACAGCTAGCTTCAACTCAAGGGTAACTTTAGGTTAATACGGTAAATGCGCATTTGTAAAGTGGCTCTCGTGACGGAGGTCTAAAGTTCGCTGGACATGCATTGGGGGGGGGGGGGGTTGCACATACATTCCTAACGTCTGGTCTCCAGGCACCTGCACATGGACTTGAGGTCCTTCCTTCCCACTCTGACCGCATCTCATCTCAATATTAGCGGAGGGAGACCACAAAGACTAATTGCCTCCGGTGGACTAGTCTGGGTAGTATGCAGAGCTGTACCTTTGCTCCTTTGGTGTGTGAGTCATAGGTTTCCGTTTCCAATAGCAACAGGTTTTTTTTTCTCTACACCATTCCATATATACCCAGAATCCTGACCCCGTCATTCAAGACCTTTGGTTGAACGCCATCTGGCTGCCTCTTGCCCTCTTACTCAATCGCACTTGCTAATAGGGATTCATTTTTACAAATATGTCAAATACGAAAGGATCCAGCGAGTCGAGACATTATTTGACAGTATTCTTAAATTAGCTGTGTGTATGGGGGATTTTGGCTTGATCTGGAGCCCTTGGGCCCCACACGCCGAGGCACGGACTCCTGTAAGCGTAGCCAAAAGAGGTCAAATGTTTGTTGTTGAATTTTAACTGACATTTGAGCGTGGAGATCGGCCACGTTCTAAAAACCACATAAGGACATGACTGGTGAATGTGAGGAGGCAGTGAGTAGCCAAAGTCTTGGTAGGGGTCCCAATAAAAGTGAGATAACTTCCTCTGCCAACATACATACAGTGTTATATTATGGCATGGACACCTTTAAAACACAATACAAATGTAAAATACTAAATGGCTTCTTTTTCAGTACTAATCCCACAGAGTTTAAAAGCCAATGTTTGGATTTTACCAATATGCATAGAATAATGTTTAGTGATTAATGGACAAAAAAGTTTGACTGCAGAATGCCACAATTTATCAGACAGAATCTATAATTCTAGACAGCCATGTAATAAGTTAGTTTTGATAATGTTCTATATGTTCTTTCTATCTAACCTAAAGGTGTCTCATTTATATAAATTTCACCAGTGTGAATGCATGCAGATTAAATAATTATACAAAATGAGTAATTAGGGAGATTTAACCAAACAATTAACTTTGACAAGAAAGAGAGAATACCACTGTTCTTGGCTGAATAACTTTACACATATTTCCAATTATTAACACAAATTGGACATTTAAAAGCTCCAAAAAAAACAAAAAATTAAATATACAGTGTATGTTAGGCCCAATTTTGATTAAGGTTCTGCTTCTCAGTTACACTTTAACAGCATCAAATCAGTATTACTAATGTAGGTTTATTACATTTAATAATTATTGATTGGAGACATGAAAACAACTAATTTCTTACTCCTAATATTTTACTTGTACATATCCATTTCACATAAACTTAGATTAAAGTTACATGCAAACATTTGGCAGATGTGTGCAAGACGTGTGTAGATGTTGCACAAAATTAAAAGAAATGTTCTGCTTCTTTCAGACGCAAGCTTTAACAACAACAAATTAGGCTGTCCTAAGAAAAAAAAATAGAATAAAACAAATCAATAGAACAACAATATAAGAATAACACTCATATAATTAATTGTTGCAAATGTTTTTAGCATAGTTTTTCCCTTAAATCATTCTGCAGACGGAATTGGGCCCCTCCGCAGGCCAAATACTTTGACACCTCTGATATAAACCAAGTAGTTACCCTCAACATCCAGAGCAGCTACACTCAGTTTAGAAGAATTTAGCATGCACAGACTCTGTCAGACAGGAAAAAGGTATTATTGCTCATTTAAAGTCAGTGCAGTGATTGTAGAATGTATCTCCAAAAACAATACTTGTACAGCACAGGTAGTCTTTGGACAGGGCAATCATTGCTTGAAATTAAGCCAATGAGCCTTTTCTACTGTTATCATGGGCATCATCTATCTGACCACTCTACAGACGATACTGTTAAGAGTATCTGGCTGGCTAGACAGTGTCTCAGACACTAATCGCTAATGATGATGATAATGGAGTAGTAATTTGGTAGGATGCAGGTTTCTACATGTTCTCGGTCCTGAATCATGTTCCCTCATTTCCTCAGTAAACCTCTAAACTGCAACACACACCCAAAAACTACACAAACATACACACAAAGATTAGGATACCCAACCGGGACATCCGCTTCTTAGGTAACCAGACCTGACGGGGCGCTCAAAGAAAGAGCCAGAGACAGAGAACATCAAACGATAACAATCGGGAGGACTCGTCTTAGGTGCATGGCGCAATCAGAAGGAGGCAGACGGAAATGCCAACGATAGTTCTACAGACAGTGACCTTTAGCCTCAACCCCTTGACCTACTGTTCCGTTTGGGAGATTAGGAGATGGGGTGAGATATCGGATCACAACACAACGTGACTGGGGTTAAGGAGTGTTTGGGAGATTAATGGTTGGAGATTTTAATACAAAAGGTTGAAGGTTTGGTCCTAAACAAAGGTGACCCAGAATTTGAATCCTGCCTGAGTACGGTACTTAGTTTGAGGAAAAAAATTTATAGAAACTACTATATTTTAAGGTGCACATTGAAAAACATATTGGATAACCATATATGTCCAAATTAAACATGTCTATTTAATTAGTGACGGAAAGGCTATAGAAATAACTATATAAGCGTAGATACCAATTGACAAAAATGTTCCCTTTATTCAAAGTGTGCACCACAGTTATGTTTGCATTTGGGGTCAAGTACGTTTTTTTAGGTTTTTGATTTTTATATTTTTGAATATAAAATAACTGTTCTCTATTTGAATACATTTTTAAATTTAATTAATTTCTGTGATGGAAAAATCACATCATTTATTTGTAACAAAAGTCTTTTGTAACAAATGTCTTTACTGTCACATGTGATCAATAAAATTTGTCCTTGCTGAATAGAAGTATTATTTTCTTAAAAAAAAGAAAGGAAAAAAATTGTAGTGCAATTGTTGATTGTCAGAAAGATTTTGATTTCATTCTGAAGAACCCTTTTATGCTGAAATGGTTCTTTGTGTTAGAGTTTAGGGTTCTTTATCCCCGCCCTTTTGTTTCTCAAATCTGTAACTGTCAAAGCACCTCATTACTGATTTTCTGGAGTTCAGTGATCCAACTACACAGACTGCCAACACACTCTCAACAGGTAAATGATTTCATTCTTAAATTTAAATACAAATTTAACTTTAAAATTGTAACTGGTTTCTAAACAAACATGTTCTTATCTCTTTTTTGTTTTGTTTTTGGTCACATATAAGTGTGTGCAGCTTAGTTAAGCTGTGGGAACTTCTCTCCTCCACTAAGTAAGTAAAAGAGACAATGAATTTATAATTCATATTGTTAGATTTTTTTTTTTTATTATTACTTGGGTTTATGTATAAACATACCCAGTCACAAAAAATATATATATTAAAACTATCCCATGAATTGATATCACTTTTTTTCTTTTAAGATTGTGAAGGGCTTGCATACTGTCCATTTTTGCTTTTGGCCTTCATAAACAATTGTTTTTACATAAACGCACTGTAACTCTAAACTCAGTTGTGTATTTCAGATGCATCACATCCTACAACCTCATCATCTGCAGAGAAAAATTGCCACTTAATCACAAAATGATGGACTTAAAGGCATCATATTGATTGGATTGTTATTTAAACAAACATGTTCTTATCTCTTTTTTGTTTTGTTTTTGGTCACATATAAGTGTGTGCAGCTTAGTTAAGCTGTGGGAACTTCTCTCCTCCACTAAGTAAGTAAAAGAGACAATGAATTTATAATTCATATTCTTAGATTTTTTTTAATCACACCAAAATGATGGACTTAAAGGCATCATATTGATTGGATTGTTATTGTTTCACTGAAACTTGGTCTTCATCACATCTATTTTTTGTTCTTATTTTGTGTTTTACTTCTTTATGTATTTATTCATGTTCAATGTCAATTGTCATTCATTAATGTATTCAGCTAATAACTGTTGTTAAGAGCACTGACGATTTTGCATGTCAATAAAAACATACCTAATTTGCACACCATGCTGCTGTTGTTGTTATTGTGGTTGTTGTTGTTGTTTTACTGTAAAACCCTAACCCAGGCTACACTCTAAGATGCCTCATTACTGATTTTCTGGAGCTCAGCCATCCAACTAAACAGACTGTCAAGCATACTCTCAACAGGTAAATCATTTCTTTCTTAAAATGTCTATAAATTATTTTCACATTCACATTTAAAAAAAAAAAAAAAAACCGAAAGGAGACACATTTAAACTCAATTGTGCTTTTCAGATGCTACAACCTCATCATCTGCAGAGAGAAACTGCCATTCAATCACACCAAAATACAGATAATGATTAACTTAAAGGCATCTGAGGATTGTGAAGATATTTCACTGGTCTTGGTCACTGGTCTTATGTTATATTTTGTTTTACTTCTTTAAGCATTTAAGCATGTTGTTGTTGTTGTTGTTATAGACAAGAAATTATAAGACCAAGCAGAAAGAGGGGTGAAATCAATATTAATAATTAATATATACACAATACTAATATCAATTATATTAATACTAATATTAATGAAAAACTATAATTAAAAGGGTTATTTATAACACCATTAGGGTCCAATATATCAAATATTTTCAAAGCATGGTTCTATATGGAACCCTATAAAAAAGGTTCTGTTTAGCACTTAAAAGGATTCTGCTATTGTTACAAGCCGAAGAACCCTTTTCTGGTACTGTTTAGAACCATTTTTCTTATACTTGTCTTGTTAAATTAAGTTAACTCTCTGATGTTACATAACAGGTTGCTAAACAGGTCTTTAGTCAATTATTGGGAAATCCAAAAGTGCTTTTTTCACAACTGTTTGTTTTGTACATTTGTGAAATGGACTTCTCTTCTGAGAAATATCATAAAGGGAGATCATACCGAAGCGCCATTTCACAGAGTCGTTTATTCTGTCCAACAGTCTGCAGACTGGGAATTCAGGGTAGGCCACACTAAACAGCTCGGCGCATCTGGCAACCTCATCAGTAATTCTAAGAACTCATAAACTGACCAGAGATCAGTCAACACTGGGAGAAATTCCTTGAAATAACACCCACTAGCACCAAGCATGCAATTAATTAGGAAAACACACAGAAACTGTTTGGTGCCGATGGAACTTCCTCTCTGAAGTTCAGCGGCTACTCTAGGGGATAGGCAAAGACAATGGGGCAGGTTTAGTGACTTCATAGCAAAAGAATGAAAGGTACAAAAAAAAAAAAACCCCCAGTTCAAAAATAGATATGTAAACTGGCATCCAGGCAGCATGATTTGCTAATGAGAACATTTGGACGGGAGGATTATATATGCAGGTGTGAAACAGTTTAAAGTGTGTTTGCACACTCTTACCTAAGGTGCAAGTCCTCCGAATATTTCAGGCAGGCGTAGATGAATTCTTTGAGTTGCGAGTATACTTTAGGCACAAATTCAGAAAATGGCAGCTTCTTCGGAAAAGGCATCTGTTTAGAATAATTATAAGAGCAAGTAAATAAATACAGTATATTACAGCACAGCACAGAGCAGGTGTTCTGAAGGATTTAAAATCAGAAATGGGAATCTTTTTTGGTGTTGGACTACTTTTCTAGTTGGACAATTCTGCATTTTAACAGATGCCCGTACATGTGCTCTTCCAATGTAAGTGCTTTAAATGCAATCAAATATTTTGCTCAAAATCAAAAATATTGACAATCTGTAACAAATGCTGTTGATAGAACACTCTGGGAGATTACCTTTATAAAGAAAACACAAAGGCAGCTTAATTACATGAAAAAGAACAGCTGCAAGTATCACCAAGAAAGGTAGCATCCTTGATTACTATAACAGTATTGGGCAGTAGTTCTTGTTGACGTCAATGGGAGAATTCAAATGTATGGCTTAGCTCAAGTATTTCAGGGGATGCGCATGTTAGTAATCAACTTCTTGGACAGCAGGAGGATATTTGTGTCTTTGAGGAGACCGGAGGGTGTGTAACTGAGGGAATCTGTGGGATAAAAGCTTTCTTATGTGCCTAATGTTCACCTTGTCGAGCTCTGGATCCTGGAAGGGGAATTGGCCTGCTATTCGCTGGTACTCTTCACGTGACACCACGGGAATGGGGCTGTAGTTGTCCTGATCCAAGAGTTGCCTGAATAAACAGAATAAGTGTGAGGGGGAAAAGACCTGACTTCACAGATGAACTGATCATAAACCTGAGGGCAAGAGCAGGATATTAAAGAAGACTAAATAATCTAAAAACCATTTATTGGACTCATAAGCAGTGTGTCTGTGTTTGTGTAACTCAGTCATAGCAAACACACATAACACATCTCCTTGAATGCCTGTTCCCACAGTAATGACATTCCGAGCCATTCAATGAGTCCAAAGCATCATTCTTTTATGGAGTGAGTCAAGTGTCTCTGACAGGGAACGTAAAACGACTCCAGCAAGGTTACAACAGCCTTTCCATGTCATCTGCTCTTAAGATTCAGCCGAACAAATCGTAACAATCTCCCTCCAAGGAGCTTTAACATTTTTTTTCGAAAACGAATTGACATTTTTTGGATTAAATGCTTTTTAAAGGGATCCCGGCACAAAAAGAAGAAGAAAATATTTGTCCTTCAAGCAATATGATTTAGTCATATGGGGATAATTTGATCAGTGATTTTAGATGGTTTGGCCTGACCAAATTTCCATGTCCTTCAACCGTCCTGCAATCCACAACCTCTGCAAATATAAATCTCTGAGCACTACAGGCAATTTCTTTAAATGGTAGTTTGATATAGGGCATTAAAAATGGATATTTCATTAAAAAATGGATGTGTGGTTACCAAGTATTGAATAGAAGAACAGAACAAATGACGTACAGTAAACACAATCTGATTTAAGTTGATTTGGACATAACCCTATTAGTGTAATCCCTTCAGTATGGATTTCTCAAGGGTCATAAGGTGATAACCAAATCATCATTATCCTTACTCAAATGAGGGACAGAGATGAAAAAAAAAACAGAGAAAAGGGAGAGAGAAAGAAGGCAGAAAGCACCTGAAGGACTGATTCCACTTTTTCAGCAGGATCTCTCCATATTGATCCCTCATCTCCAGCAACATATCAAACAACTGGTTTACTGGAAAGCCATAACCCTGCAGGGAGAGCGGGGAAGAGAGGGGGTGGATAATATCAATTTCAGTTAAAAACAGGAAGCAGATGAATGCAACTCTAAGCAGAAAACAGGATGAAATTGTGTTTATACATTTACACTTGATGTTACGATTAATTATATGGAAATAAAACAAATAACATACTAGTGCGGTCAAATCGATTCATCTCGATTAATCTTGTTTAATCGCATCCAAAAGTTTGCGTTTACATAATACATTTGTGTGTACTGTGTATATTTACATGTATACATAAATATATACACATACATGTATATATTTAAGAAATATATGTAATATATTCAAATTTACATATAAACCATATATAAATTTAAATATATATATGTATGTGTATGTATTTATATATACACATGTAAATATACACAGTGCACACACATATATTATGTAAACGCAAGCTTTTATTTTAGATACGATTAATCACGATTAATCGATTTGACAGCACTACAACATTTGTAATGTCTATTCAATGCTTGTCTGTCACAATATTTTTAAATTAAATTCCCTTTTCTCAGAAAATATTTCTGTATGTGATTATTTATAACTACGTGAAGTAATCAACCTATTTAATTTGATAAATCTTATCCAGTGACACCCGAAGTTCTTAAATGTTATCATTAGGAACTACCCCACTCACCTGCAGTGTATCTGCAAACAGCACAATAAGATTCTTCAGATCTAATATCAGGTCTGGATCAGTGCAATAAGACTATGGAGACACAAGTGAGAGAGAGTGATGGATTACAGCAGAAGCAGAGGAAGGACAGCACAAGGAAAAGAAAAAGTGCAAGAAAAAGATATCTTTTCAAAAGAGCTGTTCAGTTGTAGTCCTAAAACCCAGAAGAGGATTGGGGATCTCTCTGAAATTTAAGAATATTGTTTTTAGAATAGTGTTTTTAATTTAATAGTAAAATAAGGTCTGCAGTTTGCTAGCTACATAAGGACAACAAATACCACAAAGATGTGCATTTACTTATTCTGACAACCGCTGCAGTACTTTTGCAGGAACTTACTACTTATATTTTTAAATTACACAATGGTTTCAAACTTGTAAACATGTAAGGTACATCTGTGCGTAATTTACACTATTGTTAAAAATGTAGTGTCAATTTTTCTTTTTGAAATAATTATTACTTTTATTCAGCAAGGATGCATTAAAATTGATCAAAAGTGACAGTAAAGACTTTTACATAGTTACAAAAATAATTCTATTAAAAAAAAAATGAACTTTCTATTTGTCAAAGAATCATGAAAAGGAATTTCTGAAGGATCATGCAACAATGGCTTCTGAAAATTCAGCTTTGCCATCTCAGGAATTAATTACATTTTAAAATATTGAAAACGAAAACAGCTATTTTAAATTGTAAGCATATTTTACAAAATTACTGTCTTTAATGCATTTTTGAACAAATAAATGCAGCCTTAAGGAGCATAACAGATTTCTTACAGAAACATTTAACTTTTAGTGTATGTTGTAAATATAACCAAATAAAACACTATAGTATCTTCAAGTAATGGTAACCACACACCTTATTGTACTAGAAAACCACAATCCTAAAATCCCATCAGAAACTCCAGAGGGAAGCCATTACCCTTCCAGGCTGGCCATAAAAATTATGTCTTAATTTAACAGCTCAGCTTGCTTAGTGTATGTTAGGCATGTAGTGTGCAGACATACTGAGTGTGTACGCAAGGCTGCAATGGTCTTTGAAAGGGCCAGCTCCCACAATTCTTCCACATAAGCCCTGTTTACCAGGCCCTGTGTAGTGTGCAAGATGTGGTCCTCCACTACAAAAAAACTGCAGGATATATACAGGGAAATACAGGAACAAATTAAAGAATGTTGGAAAGGGTATGAAAGAGAAACAGTAAGTACAATATAACATATCATTAAACTACGTCAATAATATCCCAAATGGGCACAATTAGGCTTTCCAGCACAAAAAAGCCAGAGTCATTGAACATCCCAGCAACATTCCCAAAAAAATCCCAGGGATCCCACTGTGCAAGTGCCCTAAGCCTTTTTTGTGCCACTTAGGATGTTTGTAAAAGCCTCCATTCCAGACACCAGCCTTTCCGATATTCCCCTTCAGACGCTCGGAATAACACCAATCTGCCACTCCACATCCCCAGAACCATAAATTCTAAAGCTAAGAGTGTTTTTCGGCAGCACTGGGATGGAGAATCAGGAAGGGCCAGAGGAAAGGGAGCGTTTGGCTAAAGGGAGGGTCTGAATGCCGAGCCAAAAAATGCTTCGGCTGTTTTAATTCTCTTCTATATTAAAAAATGAACGTAGTAAGCATGTATAATTGATTTTCTGTTAATTTGGCCATTCAAAACAAAATGTGCACTACACTTACCCGACAATTTGATTGAAGTAGCGCCTGTACCCCTCTAATGTTTCATGCTGGAGACCACAGGAAAGAGAAAGAAGAGCTTATGAACATCAGTTAACTGAGCAGTCTACTGTTACAGCTCTTTTTAAGGTTTTTATTATTTAAGAAATAAACTAAATTACGACCTCAAAACATTTTTTAATTTGTGTCAGAATTAATTATTTCTTTGAAAGAATGATACCTCTATTACCTCAATAATAAGTCATATCACTGTCCAAATAACAAAATACCTGTACAATGACATTCTGCAAATATCGTCAACACTTTAACTCTATTTAAAAAAAATTGAACTTTCTATTTGTCAAAGAATCATGAAAAGGTATTTCTGAAGGATCATGCAACAATGGCTTCTGAAAATTCAGCTTTGCCATCTCAGGAATTAATTACATTTTAAAATATTGAAAACGAAAACAGCTATTTTAAATTGTAAGCATATTTTACAAAATTACTGTCTTTAATGCATTTTTGAACAAATAAATGCAGCCTTAAGGAGCATAACAGATTTCTTACAGAAACATTTAACTTTTAGTGTATGTTGTAAATATAACCAAATAAAACACTATAGTATCTTCAAGTAATGGTAACCACACACCTTATTGTACTAGAAAACCACAATCCTAAAATCCCATCAGAAACTCCAGAGGGAAGCCATTACCCTTCCAGGTTGGCCATAAAAATTATGTCTTAATTTAACAGCTCAGCTTGCTTAGTGTATGTTAGGCATGTAGTGTGCAGACATACTGAGTGTGTACGCAAGGCTGCAATGGTCTTTGAAAGGGCCAGCTCCCACAATTCTTCCACATAAGCCCTGTTTACCAGGCCCTGTGTAGTGTGCAAGATGTGGTCCTCCACTACAAAAAAACTGCAGGATATATACAGGGAAATACAGGAACAAATTAAAGAATGTTGGAAAGGGTATGAAAGAGAAACAGTAAGTACAATATAACATATCATTAAACTACGTCAATAATATCCCAAATGGGCACAATTAGGCTTTCCAGCACAAAAAAGCCAGAGTCATTGAACATCCCAGCAACATTCCCAAAAAAATCCCAGGGATCCCACTGTGCAAGTGCCCTAAGCCTTTTTTGTGCCACTTAGGATGTTTGTAAAAGCCTCCATTCCAGACACCAGCCTTTCCGATATTCCCCTTCAGACGCTCGGAATAACACCAATCTGCCACTCCACATCCCCAGAACCATAAATTCTAAAGCTAAGAGTGTTTTTCGGCAGCACTGGGATGGAGAATCAGGAAGGGCCAGAGGAAAGGGAGCGTTTGGCTAAAGGGAGGGTCTGAATGCCGAGCCAAAAAATGCTTCGGCTGTTTTAATTCTCTTCTATATTAAAAAATGAACGTAGTAAGCATGTATAATTGATTTTCTGTTAATTTGGCCATTCAAAACAAAATGTGCACTACACTTACCCGACAATTTGATTGAAGTAGCGCCTGTACCCCTCTAATGTTTCATGCTGGAGACCACAGGAAAGAGAAAGAAGAGCTTATGAACATCAGTTAACTGAGCAGTCTACTGTTACAGCTCTTTTTAAGGTTTTTATTATTTAAGAAATAAACTAAATTACGACCTCAAAACATTTTTTAATTTGTGTCAGAATTAATTATTTCTTTGAAAGAATGATACCTCTATTACCTCAATAATAAGTCATATCACTGTCCAAATAACAAAATACCTGTACAATGACATTCTGCAAATATCGTCAACACTTTAACATGCACTACTAGTCAAAAATTAGGGGCTGTAAAATATTTTTGAAAGAAATCGTATGCTCACTAAGGATGCACTAATTTGATCAAAAATAAAACAGTAATATCGTGAAATATTATTACAATCTAAAATAACTTTTTTCTGTTTTAATTCATTGTAAAATGAATTCTTATTATCAATGTTGAAAACAGTTGTGCCACTTTTGAAATTGAAAACATCTGTAACATTGCAAATTGTCTTTACGATCACGTTTGATCAATATAATACATCCTTGCTGAATACAAGTATGATTCTATAGTATGACATTTTTTTACTAATCTACTGTATACCTTAAGTATTTTGTAATGACATTAAGTGCACAGCAACTAAAAAAACAAACTAGAAAGAAATTCGGAAAATATGTACAATTCAGCTCTGTTATAAGGAAAACTTAAGTGTTCAACAACTGAGCTATATTTTAACTGGAACAATGTTTCTACATCCTTTTCCAATCATTCTTCAAGCAAACGAAAACTATGTATGAACACCTCTACACTAAAAAATCTACGTATGAATTTTCAGGCCCTAAATTAACTATACATGTCAAGTTTCTTGTATGCATCCATTTTCAAATAAGCAGAAACATGTACGTTATGTAATGATAATGGCTTACCTCACAGTTCCCGAGAGTTTATTTGAGGTGTGGTTAGTGATTGGGGGAGGTGCAGTGAATATGATCGAAGGGTGTAAAACAGACAGTCAGACAAAGCATGTGCTCAGGCTGAGTGATGGCGTACCATGTTAGAGTGAGGCTGCAGCACTAGTCGGGCCTGTTTCCGCCGCTGCTTCCTGTAGTAATTCTCAAACGTGTCCCGGGCACCCTGGGTAAAGCAGACACACATTCTAAACACCTGAGTGATAATAAGGCTGTTTACTAACAGGCATGACTCTCATTGGGCCTCATTCATGAAACATAAGCAGAACGATTTTTTGTGTAAATCATTCGGAAAGTCATTCTGACGTCAATTTTCCGATTCATGAAAATGTTCGTATTTTGAAAATGTTAGTTGGTACGAAAGAAATTTACACCTGCTCCCTACCATGTGTAAATGGTGCATAAAACATTCAAACGTTCTGTATTCTTTTAGACAAACTGATGACACTGCATTTTTATGAACTATGTATTAGAATGATATTTAATGAGTTCATTTGCCCTGTCTTTTTTTCATTTTTTACATTTTTAACTTTACAAAGTATTTGTGAATCCGGAGGAGAGTTTTCGGGAAGGTCCGTTTTACGCGTAAATTACTCAGAATTTACTCGTATATTTACGAATGTTTAATGAGGCCCATTTTGTGTGAACAACTCTGTGACCACTGAGTACCAGTCAGAGTATTTCAGAGGAATGAAAGAGGGGAGGTGATGACTAAGAGAAGCAGTTGACACCGTATATTTACGAATGTTTAATGAATGAGGCCCATTTTGTGTGAACAGCTCTGTGACCACTGAGTACCAGTCAGAGTATTTCAGAGGAATGAAAGAGGGGAGGTGATGACTAAGAGAAGCAGTTGACACAGGAAAACAGATTTTCGCTTACAGAGGCCGTGCTAAACTTCAAATAAGAGCATATCAGCTACTTTCTCTCTCCTAATCTCATAGTACGATTCAGAATACAGCACAGCAGAGGCTTGAGGTCAAAAAACAAAGGCCCACATTCACCGCTTAAAGACTTGATCCTTTTTCCAGAAACCCAGAGTGCAGTTTCTGTCCGCCTTTCACAGACTGCTATCAAAGTCTATTCAGGCATGACACCAACACATGCACACACGTCCCGGTCAGAACAGAGTGCAGAAACAACACAGTAATGCACAGAGCAACAGAGATAAAAACAGAAAACAGTGGCAGTACGGTGGGACTTATCACTACTTCCGGTCAAGGGCCTCTGAATTTATCTAGCCAGAGCGGGTGACTGTACCTCTTCTACAAAGATAATAAAACAGGACAAGACTTGACCACACAGACCATTTCTTAAATAACAAAAGTGAGATATATGCTCAGTTTCAGATCTAGTGAGCTTTTTCGCTGGTCCGCAGTCTATATAGGTAGTTGCAACACACTAATAGAGCTCCTCGTGAAGTCCACAGACAGACTTGAATGTCAATTAACTCCACTAGAATTTGAGATTGCTAAGCTAATAATGTGATACAGCAAGCAAACACATACCACTCAGAAATAATGCACTGTAAAGAATTTTTTTACAGAAAAAAAGACTGTAAAATGCTATAGTAGAAACCTAACTGCAAGTTACCTTTACATATATTTAAATATGTAAAAAAAAAAACTGTAAATGGCTTCACATTGTATGCCATTTTACTGTAAAATACTGGCAAATTTGTTTTCTTGAAAGTATATGCTATTTCATTATACTGGAGACATTATTACAGTTCATTTCTGGCAACCACAGCTGCCAGTTTTTACTAAATATTTTATGGGATATTTTAACTTATTTTTAATAGTGCATTTCTAATTAAATTGGACTATTTTTACAATATTTTTAAAAGATTTTTAACGTATTTTAATAGACTTTTATGCATTAAATTAAAATGAGTATTCATAGTAGACAACTTTTACTTTGTCTACCATTTTGACTTTTTGCACTGATTAAATCACAATGCAGGATACATTAAATGAATTATAATGCAGCTGTCTAAACTTTGCATCAGCCTTCACGTTGGTGAACTTATGATGACTTAAATGCTGTCTATGAAGGAAGCTCACTAGGTTTTTGAATAGAGTTGTAGTCTACAACCTTGTCATTTAGCTGATGCTACAGCGAATTACAGCATACTTATTATGCAAGAGCCTTCAGTAAGGGCACAATAGTAATACAGAGTCCCTCGGGGGTTTAAACCAGTAATCATTTGGTTACAAAGCCCAAATAGTTAACCCAGACCACCCAAATGTAATGATGTGTGGGGAAGAATAAGGTTTGAGAAATAAGAATTGAGGGAGAAATAAGTGGGCACAGAAATGGAAAAGCATTATATAAATTTGAATGACTTCAGAACAACCTTGAACCTTTAATAACAGCAGGGATCGAACAGATATTCTGCTTTGACCACAGAGGCCTTCAGAGCACAATGAAAGACAGAAGGTGAAACAATTCAGTGAGGAACAGAAGAAGAAAGTATAAGAAAGAAAGTAACTTGCTCAACACAAAATGCTACATTTTCTCTCTCACAAAAAGTGCTGGGAAGTCTGATTCATTTTAGCCAGTGGGTTCATTCATCAACTTATAAAAAAAAAAAAGGATTTAATGATTCATAACCACTCTACTTTGAAGCTGCAACTTGTCAAACTGAAAGCTGCCCATAATTTAAAGTAGCTTCAGTCCACACAGTCCACAGTGGGGCAAAATGACTCCTACACAATATACGGTCATTGACGACACTGACTCTTTGGAGCAGGATGTGTATTACCTCAGAATCCTTAAAAAGAAATTTTGGAGAAGGAAAAAAGGATGTTTGAGAAGGATGCCATGTTCTGTATGAAGGGAATTTAACCGAGTGTGTCCATCCTGTTGGCTATGCAAGCTCTTCTGCGGTTACTAGGACTGAGAAGAGCAGGTCTACCAACTGCAGTCTAAACCCAGTTAATCGTGTCCAAACGCTCCATCTCTTATAGATGTTCCTTAACCTAAACAGTCCAAATCAAAGGAGGACAGTGCCAACATCAACTACTGAAGAAAGATGCGCACTAAAGTTCAGCTGAACTTCCCTCCACAAAGGTCTAGTGCCTCAGATCTCCACTAATAAAGACACAGTGGTGTTGGCCAGCTGAATTTTGGGTGTGGTTCTCTGGGTCGGAGAAGTAGGATGGAGGCCTGAACTGTGGTTCTCCTTCTCCAAGGTTTCCCACTGCAGCTGGCCCATCACAACCAGCCTGTGTTTACACTGATCAGAACACAGACCAGAACTGTCAGAGAACTGAGACACTGGTCAGACCTTAAGTTCCATCAGGAGTAAAGAGGAGGAGTTTGAGCTGGAAGAGGGTACAGGAGAGTAAGAGAGAAAAAAGTAATAGAATAGAATTTAATCTATCTCAGATGTTCTTGTCCAGAAAATGGACTCGTGTGCTGCTTTAAAGACATTGATCAAGAAATCCAATAAATATATTCTTGTGCAAAATGCTACTAAATCAACCACCAATACATTCGAATAAAAAGTCCAAAATGGACTAAATATGTGACAGAAAGAATTCAAACGAATAACAAAGAGTGAGCAAACAGAGGTAACTGTGACCCCTTGAGATCTCCATCAGCCTCTGATCTCTGACACAGTAGCGCCATTAAATCTCAGCGGCTACACTTGAGGTCAGACTGGTTTAAAAGGAAAACACCATTTCAGTTTGGCTGTTTTCTGGCAATGCAAAAACAACAAGTATTTATGGTAAGTGCAAGACCTTGAGGCATAGAGGTCACACTTTCAACAACTCATGCTTCCTCTTTTCTCTGTTTTCTATTCTATTGCAGTCCGCTGTTCTCTTTTAATTCCACCACTCCAGAGGAATAATGTTTTTCCTCTGTCCGTTTGAACTTTATTATCTGCAGATTTATAAAGATGTCAATTGTTTGACGGCAGTGTGAAGAAAAACTTAAAACACATCATCTTCAATTTAAGTTTTTCAAGCCAAACTTGACCAAAGAACAGGCTGTACCCTCTGGCACTCTGACCTCTTCCTTGTCCTGTTCTCTTTCTCCATCCTTATTCTTTCCATCCCTCGGCTTGACTTTCCAATGGGAGTTCAACTTCCTGTCCCTACGCAGCAGCTCCACACTTATAGTTTCAGGCCTCAAAGGCCTGTACGGTCTCACACACATACACACATGCTCAAAAAAAAAGGCAAGGGACACCGTGGCCGGGTCACAACCCTCTGGTATGAAGGAAACCCAGGTGAACCCCCTCAGCGTCTCCAGCCGATTCCCAGCTCGGGCCATCTGGAGTGCAGCCAGCTCAGAAGTCTTTCTATATTTGACTCATTTCCCTCCCTTCCATAAGTGTCTCTCTGCCCCTTTCACTCGTTACAGTAGCAAGTAGACGTGTTTACATAAAGTTTGTTTAAACTATCAGGAGCGATGTCACACTAAGGCTGATCGCCATATAAACATACAACAGCCTCAACAACTTCCTTCCTGTGGGGGCGTTCAGGACAGTGAATATACAGTGAATGGGAAGTATCTGCTATATGTGCATTCAAACACGGGCATTCAAGAGTGTATGCTCACCGTTTAAACAAAAAAGTCCTTCAGGGACATATAATGTGCAATTCTGATTGTTTTTGTATAAGTAAGCAGTGTGATTTCACAGGGTCTGAGGTGAGTCAAGGGTCATCAGGGAAAGGAAACACAAAAACTCGAACATCTTAAAAAGAGACACATCGACTCGCTTATCCGGGCTCTCTTCTCATTTGTTTGCTTTCTTTCCTATAACCTCAAAACAATGTTTGTGTGTGTCCCTTCTATGACTCCCTGGTCACTTTCAAACAACTCTTGTCCTTTACTTTTCCTCCCTTTCCTTTGCGTCCTCAGACGGCTCCTAGACCTGGTCTCCAGAACTGCTCAAAAAAGGGCAAGACGTGAACTTTAAAGACTTCCTGTCTACCCCGATTCCCCAGCATGCCATTCTCACCAGCTTCCATTACAAAGACCATTGTAGTAATGACAGTTTGTCTGCTCACACTTGAAATTTACAGGCCGGAGGGTCATAAAAGTGACATTCCACCAACTCAAACAATTTGGGAGTCTTCACGAGGAGCTGTCAGCACGTACACTCCGAAAACAAACACGTGCGTATTCACATAAAAAATTTTTTTTTTTTAAACAAACAGAAATACCCACCCAAGCACGTAGACCTACACACAATTATTGGTCGTATTTTGAAGCACACTACAAAGGCAAACAGTTTAAAGACTCTTGACTCCATAGATGCGTGTCTAGCAAGTTAATAGGTAATAAATTAACAGTGATGCATTTAAAAAGTGTTTTTCATTACTTGTGGCTGTGTCAAATGCAATATTTGTTTGTGCAGGAAACATTCCAGGGTACTTTTGGGTGGTAACATGCTGGTAAACTATGGAGCAGTTTCCACTGGCAAATTTCAACAAAGTCATGAACAAACAACTGTGCTAACTGCTTTGATTTAAAATCACCAGCTAGCATGGATTAACAGATGAGAAATAAATCAATTATGGGCTGCATGATTTGGACCACAAAAAAAAAAAACTCAAAGCGATTATTTTGTCAAATATTGCAATTTTGTAATTAGAAATACAATATGAAAAACATCTAATATCCCGATTATTTAAAAAACAAAATGACATTAAAAAAATCACAATGAAATAAATGTTTGCCATGTTCAGCAAGAACTTGAAAAGTGCATGTGATCCTTTTGACTTCAAATTAAGTTATGTTTTGGCCGTGGCGATTTTGATTTTTTTCAATTAATCATGCAACCTTACATTGAATCAAAATTATTTACACATACACCACCGTTCAAAAGTTTGGAGTCAATACGAATTTTTTTTATGCTCACCAAGGTTACTTATTTGATCAAAATACCATAAAAACAGTAATTTTGTGAAATATTACTGTTTTCTATTATATATATTAAAATATATATATTTTTTTTTTTTATCAATTTTTTATTGTTTTGACATTGTTTAATATACAGAATAACACAGACAAACAATCAGCTTTGCAACAGAAAAAACAAACCAGACATTTTGGGAAGTGGTATTTTGTTTAGAAAATTATCACAAGCATGCTGGTTATGCAATACCTCTGAGCTATATAATTCAGCGTAAAAACTGTGGAAAGTAGCATTAATTTGTAAGGGTTAAAATATATATTTTTTTAAATTAAGATTTAATTACTGCTTAATACTTTTGTGGAAACCGTCCTACAGTTATTTAGGATTATTTAATAAATAGAAAGTTTAAAAGAACAACATTAATGTGAAAGATTTTTTGTAACAATATAAAAGTCTTTACGGTCACTTTTGATCAAATTAATGCATTCTTGCTGAAAAGTTTTTTTTTTTTTTAATTCGGACCCAGGGCTCGACGCTTACTTTTCTTTTTAGGAGCACTTGTGCTCCTAACTTAAAAAATTTAGGAGCACATTCAAAATTTTAGGAGCACCTTTAGAAACATCGAAGCTCAATGCGGAGAAGTCTTAGGTTAAAACCGAAACCAAGCCATTCACACAGAACGCATATTCAGCGCATTTTTTAGACGGACAAATATGACTGCTGCACTCGCGTCACACAAGAGATGTAGCCATGCAAAGTTAAAACAGTTTAAACTTTTAGAAAACACGTCACGAATTTGTGGAGGGTTATTCCTTTTCACTGCGTCTCATATGTTTTTAAATGCAATCTGAGTGAATGGCGCTTCGGCTCTTTGGATTAAGCAATGCATAAATACATGATGCTGTTTTGTTCATAATTGTTTATGCCATTTACGAAATTATATTTGATTTATATGTAGACGTAATGCACGTTTTTTTTATAGACTTATGCGTTCACAATTTAAATGTGCTGCATTGTTTTGCTCATTGCGCCCTCCTGTGGCCTCGGGAGACAAGACAAAAGTTTCCTTAAAACCTATTTAATAAAAAAATTATATTGTTCTTTGTTTTAAAAAGGTTATAAAAAATGTCAATAATTATCGATACCGAACGATATGAAACATTATATCGTTGATACATTTTTTAGCTATATCGCCCAGCCCTAAGTGTAATAGCTTTTACCAAATTTAACTACATCCCTTTGACCTGAGCCACCCTTGACCTTACCGGTAAGGAAAGACTCTTTTCTAAAAGTAAGCCAAACAAATAGACAACTAAACAATGCAAGCTTTGATCTGGTGCCCACAAAATGGCAACCAGGGACATATAACCCCAACTATGTTGTGGCACCACCAACAACAACCCAGAGAGAATGTGGAAAAAACAATTCAGTCTTGATGCACCACTGGGACGGCGCTGAAAATGTCTGTCCGGTTCAGGGACGGCATGTTCACATTAACATGCTCCCCCAGAAACAGTTTACAGACAGGACAAAGGGGCGCAAGGGGACATCTTTCAGGTGGCATGGGGTCATTAAACGGGCAACGATCTGCATCTCTGGATACAACCCGTTTCTCAGGGAGCCCCTGAGCGCAGAGATTCGAGCAGATTAAAGGCTGGCACAAGCAGGAGCCAGAAGAGGAAAACATGATGACGCACAGGCTGATTGAAGCTTGGAGGGAAGGGAAGGGGGAAAGGTCAAACGAGAGGGCAAAAAGCATTAACCTTACCAGGGTCACTTAAAGGTAAGTTTTTCACTTTTTCACTTTGACTCATCAAAATGTTGAGAGCTGATCAAACGGATTTCAAAATGGTTTAACAATGTTGCTACATCATGAAATTGGGTAAGAGATGGCAACATTAGTCAACAACTTAAATTTATTTTCGCAGCTTTTTCTCAGCTGCTTTGATACAAAAGTGTCCGCTTAACATTACAACGCAAACAGAAAACAAAAGTCCATCACCAGTGCTTCGGCACAAACACAACAAGTGCCAATCTTGTGTTGCTTCGGTTTGACAAAGTGAAAACACCATGTCAAAATAAAGTGAAGAAGTCACACAACACAAACAACGCTTATCTGAGCACGTCAAAATAAACTCAACGTAAACTAAACAATGAAGACCGACTGAGAGTGTCTTGACTGCCTCACTTTAATTTGTCTCTTAGGAGCTGAGCGAGACCGAGGATCCTCTTTTCTCTCTGTGCCGGTGCCGGCAGCCACAGCTGGGGAGCACGTCTTGCATGCTCCACACGTCTCACATTGCCGCCTCAGAGGAGCGGGGCAGCCCTAATGACACTAAACGACTGCAGAGCTGAGACGCTCCATTAAGAAAGGGAGGGGATCCTGGACTGGGCAGGCAGCCCAACAGCAAGTCCATGGGGATATTTGAGTAAAGCAGGAGAAAGGGACTAACAGAGACGGACAGAAACAGAGACAGAGGAACTAGGATTCATCGATAGAAATGGTTCCAATTTTTTTTTTTTAAATGGAACTGAATGATTTTCATGACTTTTGGCTAACTTGGATGGAACACTGTAGTAAAATACTGTGATAGCTTTTTGTATATCTAAGTCAGAAGACATGAATCAGTCAGAGCTGAATAAATCTGACTTACTAGCTGAGTGATTCATTCACGTTTAACTCAAACTTAGCAGGATCAGTTGACTTCCAGAATAAAAATTTCCTGATAATTGACTTCCTTTTTTCAGTCGAAAACAAATTAAGATTTTTGAAGAAAACATTCCAGGATTTTTCTCCATATAGTTTTATTTATTTCAAAAAAAAAAAAAAAAAAGTCTTGCACTAGCTCTGCAATGCGCATCCACAACTCGCATGATGTAGGTGGAAGTACCGTACCAGTGTTTAAAAAGCGAACGTGCAAAGACTAAATCAAACGCCCTTTACAAAAAAAAAAATGTAAAACAACAATGTCGGATGATTTTGAAGTTGGAGGAGAAAATCAGATGGAGTTCAGTACTACTTCTGTCTACGTCCTAGGGATGGAACGATTACCGGTTTAACGATAAATCACGATAAAATGCCCTGACGGTTAGTATTATCGTTTAAAATTTAATTATCATCAAAACCGTAATTGATTATCACAATTTTGAAAACTCGCGGTAAATCCTGTCCAGCCAGCATCAGTCTGACGCAGAAGCAGCATGCAATGTTGTTGTTGTTGTTTTTTGGCACGAGACGAAATGGCGGAAGGTAGTGACAGCGCTCAGAAGATTTTTCAGCCATCTAAGAGGACCAAATCGGTGGTCTGGTCGTATTTTGGCTTTTACAAGAGTACTGAAGGCAATTTAATCGAGGACGGTCACCCTGTCTGCTGATCTTGCAAGAAGAAAGTCGCTGCAAAAAGGGGGAAACGCATCAAATTTGCTCCGTCATCTTCGTGACCACCACCCACTGTATAGCGAATGCAAGGTAACTTTTACCTCAATACCAAAACTAACTGAATTTTAACAAAACCGTGATAGTATTGATAATCGTGATATGAAATTTTCATACCGTTACATCCCTACTACGTCACATGTGACATTTCCACTGTGACTACGTAATGTGTGAAGTCATGGAAGCACACACAGAGCTACTGCAAGATGAGCATTTGTGGTTAGACCCTAGGTAAGACCCTCATTCCTCGGCTGGGTTTGAGTAGAGCCTTTTGAAGCTGCATTGAAATTGCAATTTGGACCTTCATCCCGTGGGTCCCTATTGAAGTCCACTATATGGAGAAAAATCCTGGAATGTTTTCCTCAAAAACCTTAATTTCTTTTCGAGTGAAGAATGAAAGACATCTTGGATGACATGGGGGTGAGTAAATTATCTGGAAATTTTTACTCTGAAAGTGAACTAATACTTTAACCAGGAACCATTACTTTGTACTGAATGATAGTTGGTGACAGCATGTAGTTAAAGAAACATGCTATGAGTTTTGGTATTAGAGATACACCAGTCATCCGGCCATCATTCGGAACTGGACAGTTTTTGCTCCAAACACGTGATCAGCAACTGGCTAGTTTTTTTATTTTGTTTCAGCCGATCTCTATTCTGGACTTGCGCACAAAATGCATTGCAATCATTTCCCAAATTTGTGGGGAAATATTACGAAGTCTATAAACAGAACGTTACACAGAGACGAGACACACTAAAGGCAGATATTAAAAAATGGCAATCGTATCGGAATCAGCTCATTTGCTTGTTTTAAAAATGGCAAGCAGAACTAGCCATGAAAAATCATGATCGGTTCATCTCTATTTGGTCTCAAAAGCACTAAAAAAAATTCCTCACTAAGAGGAATCGGAACAAGAATCGATGCATTCCTTATGATTTCCATCTCTATAAAGGACTGAGACAGAAAGAAAAAGAGAATAATACCCAAAAAGATGCATTTATATGAATTTTCTTTTTCTGGTTTCATAAACTGCCTGTGAACAAAAATAGACTAAAAACCTGACAAAGGCTTGAAATCAGTTGAAATGCTTAATGGTTTTATTGTGACTCCTGAGATAAATCTTTCCCCCTCACCTCTTCTTCCTCTGCATCCTCCACATCCAGTATCCCAGAATCCTTTTCTGAAAAGGGGTTGCTTCCAGTTCGGTCCACCTCTGTGCCAGAGCACGCTTCCTTTCGTATCCTCCGTCCACTCGCTGATCGCTGCTGTGATGTCACGGCATTATCACGAGCGATCTGCACTTGTGCCTGGAAAACAAACACAAACAGACATGTGAAAGGGAACGTGTGTAAAAAATCTTTTTAATTATACACACACACACATATATATGTTGTATGCAATAGTATTATCTTGAGAAAAAATGTTAAAGAGCAGGTCATATGATATTTTAAAGTGTCCTAATATTGTGTTGGAGTCCCCTACAACAGGTTTAAATGCATCTAAGGTCAGAAAACATTGTAATTTTCTCAGAATATACATTTAATATTAGAGTCATTTGCCAATGATTTCGAAACGATTCGTTCCAAGCAAGTTCGGAGCAAACCCCTCCCATCCCTACTACGTCACATGTGACATTTCCACTGTGACTACGTAATGTGTGAAGTCATGGAAGCACACACAGAGCTACTGCAAGATGAGCATTTGTGGTTAGACCCTAGGTAAGACCCTCATTCCTCGGCTGGGTTTGAGTAGAGCCTTTTGAAGCTGCATTGAAATTGCAATTTGGACCTTCATCCCGTGGGTCCCTGTTGAAGTCCACTATATGGAGAAAAATCCTGGAATGTTTTCCTCAAAAACCTTAATTTCTTTTCGAGTGAAGAATGAAAGACATCTTGGATGACATGGGGGTGAGTAAATTATCTGGAAATTTTTACTCTGAAAGTGAACTAATACTTTAACCAGGAACCATTACTTTGTACTGAATGATAGTTGGTGACAGCATGTAGTTAAAGAAACATGCTATGAGTTTTGGTATTAGAGATACACCAGTCATCCGGCCATCATTCGGAACTGGACAGTTTTTGCTCCAAACACGTGATCAGCAACTGGCTAGTTTTTTTATTTTGTTTCAGCCGATCTCTATTCTGGACTTGCGCACAAAATGCATTGCAATCATTTCCCAAATTTGTGGGGAAATATTACGAAGTCTATAAACAGAACGTTACACAGAGACGAGACACACTAAAGGCAGATATTAAAAAATGGCAATCGTATCGGAATCAGCTCATTTGCTTGTTTTAAAAATGGCAAGCAGAACTAGCCATGAAAAATCATGATCGGTTCATCTCTATTTGGTCTCAAAAGCACTAAAAAAAATTCCTCACTAAGAGGAATCGGAACAAGAATCGATGCATTCCTTATGATTTCCATCTCTATAAAGGACTGAGACAGAAAGAAAAAGAGAATAATACCCAAAAAGATGCATTTATATGAATTTTCTTTTTCTGGTTTCATAAACTGCCTGTGAACAAAAATAGACTAAAAACCTGACAAAGGCTTGAAATCAGTTGAAATGCTTAATGGTTTTATTGTGACTCCTGAGATAAATCTTTCCCCCTCACCTCTTCTTCCTCTGCATCCTCCACATCCAGTATCCCAGAATCCTTTTCTGAAAAGGGGTTGCTTCCAGTTCGGTCCACCTCTGTGCCAGAGCACGCTTCCTTTCGTATCCTCCGTCCACTCGCTGATCGCTGCTGTGATGTCACGGCATTATCACGAGCGATCTGCACTTGTGCCTGGAAAACAAACACAAACAGACATGTGAAAGGGAACGTGTGTAAAAAATCTTTTTAATTATACACACACACACATATATATGTTGTATGCAATAGTATTATCTTGAGAAAAAATGTTAAAGAGCAGGTCATATGATATTTTAAAGTGTCCTAATATTGTGTTGGAGTCCCCTACAACAGGTTTAAATGCATCTAAGGTCAGAAAACATTGTAATTTTCTCAGAATATACATTTAATATTAGAGTCATTTGCCAATGATTTCGAAACGATTCGTTCCAAGCAAGTTCGGAGCAAACCCCTCCC